AAAAATTACAGAAAAATTCCGTGACTTCAGATAGAAATTACGTGACAATTCCGTAAAATTTCCTGCAACTACTATAAATACCCCAAAAAATAAAAATCATTTTCAATAAATCCCTGAGTATATATATCCCAGGATTATTTTAGAGTCAAACGAAATGTATAATAAGGATAATAAGGATAAGGATGTAATAATAAGGATTATCCAACCTGAAGTAAACTCCTGGCTCTCGCCGATCGATATCGTCAGGGCGAAGTGATCCGATCCGACATTTGCTGAAGAAAATACCAATAAACGCAGGGTCATTCTTCTTCGGCCAGTCTTTCACCGGGAAAACCAGTGGATAAGTGTAGTGATTGGGAGGATCACTGAATTCCAAGTAACCATTCATGGATAACTAAATAATTAAGATCATTAATTTCATTGGGCCCGTAATTGAATGCACGAACCACTTATTGAATCATGTGTAACTCATCTGAGAAATTATCACAGAATTCCACAATATTTTTGAAAGAATGTTCTACATCTCATCCACTAAAATGTACTGGTTTTTTCTTCATATTTTTGGTAAACTAACGATGGGATTGGAGTGGAAAAATATAACGTTTTTGCGTTTTATAATTGTTTAAGGCCCGAATGGACTGGAAAAGATAATTTACTCCAAATTTGGATTTGGAAAAGATAATTTACTCAAAAATTGGGACTGCTAATTACTCCGTCAATTAATCGTTTTTTCCGATAATTGTTAGCTAGCGGACTAGTTGTTGACAACCGCTAAAACGCTAGCTAACAATTATTGAATAAAACGATTAATTGCCAAAGTAATTATGAATCCGAATTTCGGGGTAAATTATCTTTTCAAGATAATCCACCCGAGCCTTAAGGACCGGTTGGATTATCTCGGAAAAGATAATTTACTCCTAAATTCGGATTCCTAATTACTTTGGCAATTAATCGTTTTATTCAATAATTGTTAGCTAGCGTTCTAGCGGTTGTCAACGACTAAAACGCTAGCTATTATCGGAAAAAACAATTAATTGGCGGAGTAATTAGGAATCCCAATTTTGGAGTGAATTATCTTTCCGAGATACTCCATCCGGCCCTTAAAGACTCACGCAGTATCAAGGCAGTGCGAATATTTTCCTGCGTTTTCCCAAAATTTTAAAAAGAATCACAAACTGTAGAAAAAACCGCAGAAAACTATCGCCCCACCACCCAATTTCGTCAACTATGAAATGATGATAAATTGCAAAAACGTTATATTTATTCCCTTCAATCCCATCGATAATTCGCCAGAAAAATGAAAAATAACTGAATTTTAAAATTCAAAATATCTTTAAGATTTTGTTTATTTCACCTAAAAAATTACCCATCCCGCGACAACACCGTAAACTACCCAATTACTAAAAAAAAGTGTGCACTAACCCGAGTGTAATTGTATCGAAATCCATAGAACGGCAATTGAAAATTCAAGTTTTTATGAATCTGTGGCATCGATGAATGGACATCACTCTGATAATCACCCCTCTGATTATCCCCACAGCTGTCAAAGTACCAATACATTTTCTCTGATCGGATTTTCCGCCACCTCTCCTCAGTCATGACATAAAACTGTGGAGAATCTTTGGAAGAGGGTGCACACCTGTTAGCCCCTGGATCATCAGAATCTTCAAAAAAAAAATAAAATCATAATCATTAAGATCAAAGCCACGAATCAAGTAAAATATCTTACACCTGCCAGTATCGTACTCATACTTGGATGATTCATCACTGATTCACGTCCGGAGTGAGTAACTGATAAGCACTGATAACACCCAATGCAAACAAGCTAGTTGTACAAATAAAATGAGATATGCAAACACAATATTCCTATTCTACTCTATGCACGACAGGTCATCTTCCTCATTACGAATCTAATTAACGAACCAAGCAATCCAATTACAACAATTAATGGAATTACATCAGCCCTAATAGATCACCCTCAAAGGACCTGTCATCAGAACCTGATAAACCCAGTCACGCCTATTGATAACAGATTACTCACCGTAATTCACGTATTTTTCACTTCGAACTTCATCTATTCTCCTGGATATCGTAGAGGATTGATCATAAACCCCTGGTGAATGCTCATCAAGATGATCATCAGTATAATCAGACGCAGGTAAAGAGGACCCCGAATTCTTCAAGGAGTCCTCCCCCTCAGGATTATTATCAGCCTCATGAACGTACGGAGAATCAACCCCCACATTCTCAGCCATATCCTCTAATTCGGATCGAACAACTTCCACTTTAGCTTCATGCTTTTCTTCTGTTCCAGCTCCATTATCAGCCCCATTATCAACTCCATTATCAGCTCCATTATTATCCGGTGAAGATACTTCTGAAGACTCGGCAGTTCCCAAATTGAATGCACTTTCCAAGGTTTGATTATCCAATTGCGCAATAACTGAGTTTATTAAACAAATGATTAGGAGACTTATTACTCC